TTTGTCTTTTTGAGACATGGTCTCCCTGTAGCCCCAGCTGTCCTGGAACTCACTATGTAGACCAGGCTGGCCTCAAACTCGCAATGATCCACCTGCCTCTGCCTCCCAGGTGCTGGGATCAACTGGGGAATATTTTAATCTCTGCCACTGAATTAAAAGACTGTCACTGCTCAATAATAAAGAATCAGTGCAACATCTTAAGTAATGAAAAGTATCAGTTTAGGCAATTGAACTTTAAAGCAGCATCACTTACTATGGTAATCTAGTTAGAAAAAGGTAGCTATATTAATCAATACTTCAAACGTTTTTCTAGGTGAGCCCTGCCTTCCTCCTCTAGCAATAGAGTGCTGGTACTTAGAAGATTGTTGTAATAAAACTGACATATTTCATGAACTGTATTCTCTGTGGTGTTGGGGATTGAGCCCAGGGCCCTGGGTCTGCTAGGCAAGCACTCCACCATTGAGCCACATCTCTAACCTTCATGAACTAAAGATACTTTAGATTCTTTCCCTCCTCTTTCTGCCCTGCCTGTTTGCCCATATGACTTGGTTGTACTCTACAAACTACTGTGAGAATGAATGTTTCAGAATTTTCTATACAACATAATTTGTTACTGACAAAATGAATTCTGCTTTGAGCTTTCTTTTCTCTCTTTTCCTTTTTCTTTCTTTCTACTTTGAATTTTCCTAATTTTCTTTTTAGCTTCCTAAGTGTTTTTGTTTTTGTGGTACTTGAGGATCATGCTAGGCAAGTGCTTCACTGACTGATAATATATCCTGGCCCTTTTTGTAATTTTGTTTTGAGGCAGGGTCTCAAGTTTCCTAGTGCATCCTTGAACTTTCCATTTTCCTGCCTTGGCCTCCAGGCTACGGGATTGCCCGGCTGGTGTTTTAACCCAATAAAGTATTATCGAGTCATAAATAATTATAAAAGGCAGTTTATGTGTAATTAGTATTTAAATTATTTTTCAAGATCGTTAATGAGTTTTGTTATGTAGAGGCTCTGAGTGTCTATACGTGGGTTTCTGCTGGAAGTTGTTTATTCATTAATTCAACTCCTTAAACGCTACTTACTGGGAAGGATGTATAAAAGGCAGTTTATCATTAATTCAACTCCTTAAACGCTACTTACTGGGATAATGAGTTTGTTTTGTAGAGGCTCTGAGTGTCTATATGTGGGTTTCTGCTGGAAGTTGTTTATTCATTAATTCAACTCCTTAAATGCTACTTACTGGGAAGGATGTAATTCTAAATTGTAAGATAGGATTTTACCTTCTGTATAATTTTGATATCTCATATTACTTGAAATACTTTTCTCAGGCCTTGAAAAATTTTAATTCAACTATGATTTTCATAAAATTTATATCAAAAGTATGGGGGCCTGAGGGTATCGCTGGTGAGTGAGTGCTTGCCTAGCATGTGTGAGGCCATGGCAGAGAACTCCAGACTGGAGATCCAGAGTCTAAATAAAAATGTCCTAAGATCTCGACTTTTGAAAGCATCATTTTAGAGCAGAAAGTTTCAAGTTTTAGAGCATTTCCAAGTTCATATTTTCAGGCTATGAATGCTCGACCTGCAATATATTTTGCTTTTCATTTCTCATCAAGTTTTTCTGTTAAAAATGCATTTTGAATTCTGATCTCAATATTCTTTGTACTAACTTAAATGTGAAAATTGTCATCTTATGCACAGGACTTCTTAATTACTCAGATGACTGGAAAAGAGCTCTTTGAGATGTGGTCAGTCATGAATCCCATGGGGCTGCTGGTGGAAGAATTGAAGAAGAGAAACTTCTCAGCTCCGGAATCTAGACTCACCAGGCAGTCTGGGAGCACAACAGCTTTGCCGCTGTACTTTGTTGGCTTATACTGGTTAGTAAAAATTTAATCTTTACTTCATAACTTTAATTGGAAGCCTTAAAAGACAAACTTTTTCAGTTTTTTTTAATGTTATTTTTTTTTTTTTTTAATTTTTTTTGAGACAGGACCCAGTTGGCCTGGAACTCACAGAAATCTGCCTGCCTCTGCCTCTAGAGTGCTGGGACTAAAGGCATGTGCCACCAGGCCTGGCTTTGTAATGTTACTTCTGATAGCATTAAAAGATGATTAAAAATCGCAGTTCTGATCAGCTACTTAGTGTCTCCTCTCCTTTCTGCCTTTCTTAGGGAAAGGCATGTGTGTGTGTTTTGGAGAAACCACGATGGAGGGGTTAAACAATGCGAGATATAAATAATGCCTAGCTAGTTTTTAAAAACCAGAGGGAACCATATTAATCTAACAACGTACTGACATTATACATACCAGATCAAGAAATACATGTCTAGGCAAGGTTTATTTGAGAACAATTGGTCTTTGCCCAAGATTTATCTACATGACATACAGTAATTAAAAGTGACAGACTGGTGGAACTAACGTTCTTGGTTGTTTAACAGACATGCTTTGAGGCCTATACTAGTTTGGTCAGAGGGACATACAGGACAGTTTTTGCTCCTTGCCCTCCTAGGTCAACTAGTTCCAGGGGATTATAAGCATCTCTCAAAATGTCCTGTAATTGTGGTGGGGCACCTGTCCTCTTAATCAAGGAGGCCGAGGAGACCCCACGAGACAGACTTGAACCAGTGTCCAGTCTACAAAGAGGAGAATCAACACAGAGGAATCATTTCCTCCATGCTTCCAAGCGAAGACAACCATGGTGGAGCAGGACCTTTGACTTATCTTCACATAGGTGGAACTGGTAAAAGAAAGGAGCCAGGGGCT